GAGTATGGGTTGAAATCCATCTTTCCCTCCTAGGTGTGTGATCTTGGGCTTCCCGTCACGTGCCATTGCCTGGACACCCCACATCAGAGACCACTGATTCAAACTTCATTAAGACAGCTCCATTAGGGTCCCCTCAAGGTGGGTGCATACACCCAGACTGAGAATAAATTTCTTGTGAGAAAAGAAGTATGGCCCCCAGGAAATGGTGGGGGTGGAGGTGGTGGAAGGAAAGGCTGACACACGGATGCGTTAACCAGGATGTTTATGGCCTTGGTGGCTCTCCAACAGCTCAGGGGAGGAGTAGGCCCTGTTGGCTCTAACTCTAGGGTGGAAGCAGGAGAACATCAGGATATTGGCCTGGCATCCTCGCTGGGGGTGGGGGAGGAGACGGGGAGGATGGCATGAGGAGCTCTTCTCTCCAGAGGTCTCCACGGCAACGCTACTTACTCCAGGGCTGTGGGGGAAGGAGGGGAAAGGGTGCAAAGGCGGCCTCAGGGAGGTGGAGGACCTGGTCCCCGGTGCCCCCACCCCTCCTGCTCCTCTGCCCAGCCCCAGTCCTCCCAACGGCCCCACCCGCCCCACGCTCAGCCTGTGCCAGGTTCGGGTTCAGGAACGTGGCGTTGGTCCTCGTGCGAGGGAGGGAGGTCGACTGTGAGAAGAGAGACAGGGTGAAAAAGAATCCCGAGGCTTCGTCAGGGGTGGACTGCTGCCATCAAATAAGCATTCTCCCCCAACACTGACCCAGAAAACCAGGGTTTGATAAGTGAATGGACAAAGGAGGGTGTGGAGGGGTGTCTGTCCCTGATCCTGGCAGCTTCCAGTCTGAGCAGAGAGACATGTCCCTGACTCAGACAAGGCTGCTGGGAGTGCCAATCTTTGGAGCTTCTAGTCTAACGGGTGAAACCTGGCCCTGCCTTAGGGACATGGCCTTTTGGATTTCTGGGGATGCTCACTCTGGTGGGGTAGACAAGGTCCCTGACTCTGGGAGCCCCCAGTCTGATGGAGGAGACATGGTCCCTGACTCTGGGGGCTCCCAGTCTGATGGAGGAGACATGGTCCCTGACTCTGGGGGCTCCCAGTCTGATGGAGGAGACATGGTCCCTGACTCTGGGAGCGCCCAGCCTGATGGAGGAGACACAATTCCCACCACCTAGGAACCCCCATTCTGATGGAGGAGACTGTCCCTGTTTCACTTTGAGAGATAAACTTCACCCTCTGATGGGAGAGGCTCTCTCCTCATTCTCACTGTAATGGGAAAGAGGAGACATGAGCCCCATTGTCTGGGAGCTCCCAGTCTGAAGAGGGAGGCATGACCCTACTCTCACCTCACTCTATACCTCCAGTCTGATGGGGGATGTAACCCCCATTGTCGGCCCATTTCCTCAATATGGCGGGAGAGGCGCTGTCTCCCATGTTTTAGGGACCACCGTCTGCAGGAGAAAGGATGCCCCACCCTCAGACTCTGCCCCTTCTTCTAAAACCTTCAGTCTGATGCACTTGTTAGATGAGAGAAGGCACAGAACTTCCTTCCGTAGTCCTCAGTCTGATGGAGGAGGTCTGTCTATCCCTAGTCTAGGACATCAGTTTACAGAGGAGACAAGGTTCCCATTTGGGGACCCTTCAGTCAGATAGAGGAGACAAGGCCCCTTCCTTCAGTCTGATGGGGGAGGCATATCCCTCCTTGGTCGATGTCCTCCTGTCTGATGGAGGAGACAAAGGCCCCTCTGGGGAGCCCCTGTCCGAAAAGGAGTAGCCCCTCGCCCCCTCCCGCACACTCACGGGCCACCTGCAGCTCCACCTCCAGCGTCTCGGTCTTGCCCTGCAGAGTGACGGTCTTGAG